CGGCAGGGGTCCGCCTGGGCCGGTAAGTCCGGTGACCTGGGCCGGAACTGCCCCGGGAGCCGTAGGTTGCTGGCCCCTGCCCTATAGCTTCAGACCACCTGGCAGATAGTGAAAGAGGAACAGAAGAATGTGAGTGTCAGGGTGTGGTAGGGAGGCTGGGGCTTGTTTGTGCAAGTACTGTCAGTTTGGGAGGATGCTGGGGAAAGGTTCTCTGCCCCCTTTTCCCTTTCCAAAGGCAAAATCCATTGGCTTGGGGCATTTCAGTTTTGGAAAGAGCAAAATTAATCCTCTCCCTCCACTTATTCCAAAGGCGAACTCCATAGGCTGGTGGCTATTCAGCTTTTAGAAGGAGAACAGCTAACCCTCTCTTTCCCCTTTGCTCTTTCCAAAGACAAAATCTACCTATTGGTGTGGTTTCTGGTTTTGGAAGGAACAAAATTAAAACCCTTTCCCTTCTTCTTGCTCATTCCAAAGGCAAAATCCCACAGCTAGTGGGACTTCTGTCATTGGAAGGAGCAAAGCTAACCTATTCCTTTCACTTTTTCCAAAGGCACATGGCTCACATCAAGTATAAACATTGTATTGAGTTGGGTATTGAATCTATTGAAACAAAAATATTATAATCTGAACAATGTTATTTCCTTATAAAATGTTAAAATAAGATTATAAATAAGTGTGTGAATGAAACTATTCACACTAAAAAACAAAATATTTTTATTCATATACTATGACATGCCCCAACATGCACAAGTAGACGTAAAAGAGGGCCCAGGGGCAAAATGTCTAAGAATCACTGCCTTACATTTTATTCTTTCTTTTAAAAATGTTACCATTACCATTATGCTTGGGTGGAGGGGTGGAATGATTCAGATCCCTTCACCTATATACCTATACCCACTTTTTGATAGAGTCCAGTCACCTGCTGCTAAATATACAAAAAATGGTTGAACGGGTAGTGGGCAGTTTGAATCTTAGAAACAGTAGCACATATCAAAACAATGAAGCAACACCACATATTAAATCGATATCATGCCTTTTTCAAATGAACCAGCTTGTAATGAATCTACTTCATCTAACATTAAGTCTAATGGACATTATTTGGGACCAGTGTCTGAGTAAAGATGCTGATAAGCAAGGTGCGAGATATTTAATTTAAATTTGAAAACCCTACAATAATGCATTTATCAGTATTCTTTTTCTAAATATTTCAGAGATGCCCAGTTCAACCACATTTCTAACTGTAAATTGGGAGATTTCATGAAACACAATAAAGCAATAGGGATTGATGAGAATGTAAGACAACGTCACAACTACAATATGGAGAACAAAAAACCCTGTAATTTTCAAATGTGAAAAACATACTAATAAACATAATTAGATTTACTGCAATCAATTTATAAGACTAAGATTAGGATAATTTCATATACATTTTACGCATACTCACTTGGGAGTAAGGCACACTGAATGAAGTGTGACTTCACTGTAAACAGACACAACATGTGGACTACACAGGATTCTCAGGTACAATTCTTTTCAACAGCAATAAGATCAGGAAAAACCTGAATCCTTTTACTATCCTGAAACATCACCAAGTTTCTCCATGTATAAGCGGAGAAGAAAATAACTTTGAGGTGCTTCCTTTTACTAAATGAGTTCTCTCCCACATTAAGAAAACAATGCACTCAGATATTGCAGAATTGTGATGCAACAGCAGCTGTGTACATTAAAAATTCAGTTTTCTATACTTCTGACTTAACTGAAGAAACCAGACAGACACACTATGACTATGAATTTCTCCAACTCTTAAACTTTGTACCCAACGAGGAAGTTACTTAGAACAGTAATAGACGCTAATAAGTTAATTTCAATATCTCTTATGGAAAATGACATAGATATTAATTATAATTAAAAAAAAACATTTGCAGAACACAGACAGGAAGAGCAGAAGTACTTTATTGAGCAAAATTAAATAAAAAAAATTATTTATTGTGTAAAGAAATAAAAAAACCCACACAATTATGACTGTGGTATATATGCATATTTCAGATCCAATATTAACCCATGGATTTAAAGACCCATGATGTCTAGTCTTTTTAGCAACAAGGGATACACTATAACAGGGGTAGGCAACCTTTTTGAGCCGGGGGCCAGGTTGCTGTCCCTCAGACAATTGGGGGGCCGAAGAACCATAAATAAATAAATAAATAAATAAATAAATAAATAAAATTTAAAAAATAAAAAAAATATATGCATGCACACTCTCTTAGCCCCAGAAAACCCATGGCAAAACCCCTGTGGACATTTTGCCAAGAAAACCTCAAGAACAAGTAATAACAACAATAATCAATATCATGGTGGGCGGCGGTGGTGACCTGGGGCCAGTCCAAAGGCCTCGGGGGGCCGCATCCAGCCCCCGGGCCTTAGGTTGCCTACCCCTGCACTATAAATTACAGAAAGAATGAATGAGCAGCACAGGTAATAAATCACAATTATGTGATTTATAACAGAGAGCAACCAAATAAAGATGAGCATCATATATGAAAACTAAAGGGACTTGTAAAAGACAATTCCTGTTATATCTAAACTATCAGGTTACCACGATCAAGCTGTTCAAATGACATTGCGTAAGCATTCCTATATTTGGCAGAAAAAGTTGATAAAAGCCAAGAGGAAAAAAGGAATTTATGCTCACACGACATTATTTTTAAAGCTACATTTCTGGTAAACTATGCCTACTGACAAGATTTATACATAAGCAATGTATCCTACACCTTGTCTAGCCAGTGCTGTTTAAGGAATTGATGGGTATTCCAGTTCTTTCAAATCTAAAACAGGAAACGTTCTCTGTCAACAGCAAACAACATATTTCACTCCAATAACTTTAAATTTCAAGATTTCATAGGCATTGCATTGCACCAGAGAGAGAGAATGTGAGAAACACAATGTTGATGAATTTATTATTATTATTATTATTATTATTATTATTATTACCTTTCCTTTTAATTATATTTTTATTTTTAAAAGCACTATTAGTACTAAAGCTGGAATTCAACTCCAAAAAATAGCTTCAGCAGATACAAGCAGCATATGACAAACATTAAATGTACCAATGTGCTTTAGAAGGACAGGACCCCCAGAAGGAGGCTTCTAGTGAAAACCAGCTCTATCACAAGCTTTAAGTTGGATGTAGGCTTACACAATATCGCTCTTGAAAATAAGCTGGTTAATATTAAATAATTTGAACAAAAACATGGTAGCTCTACAGTTCATCAAGCTTGCTACTAACGTTTTGAGTCAAAGGATTTTTTTAAATGTAAATGAAGAACTAATGTTTCAAATATGACAGATTACTTTCTTTGTGCCAAATATAGAGATCTCATTTTCACCTCACAAAAACTGACTGCTCTATTCTAGGCATTTCATTTTCACCTCCTGAAAGTGAATTGCTGTAGGCTGCCATCAGTTCTGGGCATCAGTTCTGGGCACTCTGTCATTGTGAGGGTGAGGTGAGCAAAAGCAGAGTGAAGCAGAAAAGTGGAACAGATGAAAGAAGAGGAAATGAAAACTGGTATTGCTAGCCTTCTATTAAACGTAACCTAACAGAATCTCATGGCTGCAGATCTTAAGAAAGAGTCTATATGGGAATATTTTGAAGAAAAAATATAGTA